AGAGAGAGAGAGAGAGAGAGAGAGAGAGAGAGAGAGAGAAAGAAGATGGTGATGTGATGACAAGGGGCTAGAGAGATATCTGAGTGATAAAGAAAACGGTCTCTTTTGGAGTTGATTTTTGTGAGTGCTAGAAAGCAGGAAACCACTTCCCCCCTGCATTTTTTGTTTTTAGTTTTTGAGACAGGATCGTACTGTGTAGCCCAGGCTGGCCTTGAATTCATGACAATCTTCCTGCAGCCTCTTGATTTCTGGGTTTACAAGTGTGCATCACCAAACCTGGCTTCTTTACATAGTTTTCTAAAATGGTAAGACCCAAAGACTAGTCCATTACCTCTAACATTGGTTGACTTTCTTACCAACTTATTGCCAGTTGTTTAACTGCAGTCCTATTCCACCCTTGATTTTCTTTTTTCCAGGATCAAAGTTGTATGTACAACCCAACAGCAAAGGCAGCTAAATGCAGAGGGTACAGAGAGATCCCTGTGGGCAGTGAGAAGGCCCTGAAGAGAGCAGTGGCTCGGGTGGGACCCATCTCTGTGTCAATTGACGCCAGCTTGACCTCTTTCCAGTTTTACAGCAGAGGTGAGAGCCTCTTCCTGTGCAGCCCCCTCTGCTAGGGTGCGGGTGTGCTTGCGAGAGAGAGGCTTGAGTACTTGGCCCCTGCTGCAGCGCAGGGCATCTCAGTTGTAAGCCCCGACTGAGACAAGGGAACATGCAGGACCCCTCAGGTTGCAGAGAAGCTCACCCACAGTTTGTTTCGTAGGTGTGTACTATGACGAAAATTGCGACGGTGATAATGTGAACCATGCCGTGTTGGTAGTGGGCTATGGCGCCCAGAAGGGAAACAAGCACTGGATAATTAAGAACAGGTAACAGTGAGAGAGAGCACTGCTGCCATCTGACCACCTCTGCAGATCTGCCTCCCACTTCAGTTTGTGACAAACCCTGTTTTCTAACCACACTGTCCTAACACATCCCACTTTCCCACCTACCATCAATTTTACGTCCTTCTGCCTCCTCCCACGCCCACAAAGTGCATTCGTCCCTCACGTTCAGTCTCAATCACCACCTGTCCGTCACGTTTCCTCCTCTTTCACCTCTCCTCCTCTGGAGACCGGGTAATGTAGCTCCTGCTGGCCTGAACTCACTGTGTAGACCAAGCCAGCATGGAACTCGCAGAGAGCCACCCGCCTCTGTCTCCCAGGTACTGGGATTAAAGGCCTGCGACAACACACCCGGCAGTCTCCACTGTCTTTAAAACCTGTCTTAGTTTCTTCTGTTGCTGTGATAAAGTATTCTGACAAAGTAACCTACGGGAGAAAAGGCTTATTTCGCAGTCCCAGGGCACCGTACATCAAGGCAGGGGTCTAGGCCATCAGGGTTTGAAGCTGCTGTCACAGCACAGCCGAAGTTGGGAACAGAGAGATGAGCACAATGGATGCTGGTGTTTGGCTTGATGTCCCCGTTTTCTACAGTCCAGGGTCTGTGCAAGGAATAGTCTCCCATCACTTAACATTGTCGAGATTATTCCCACAAGTCCATCTCCCAACTGATTCTAGATTCTGTTAAGTTGACAATTAACACTGTTACAGAACCAACCTGGGTAGCACACCTTCTTTCCACGTCATGGCTTTAAGACTTACTCAGTTTTTATATTATTAGTGAACTACAGTAAGCGTTTTAAGGACTATATAAATTAAGGTGATAAGTATCTTTCTCCATTGGTTCTACAGCTGGGGAGAAAGCTGGGGAAACAAAGGATATGTTCTCTTGGCTCGGAATAGAAACAACGCGTGTGGCATTACCAACCTGGCCAGCTTCCCCAAGATGTGATTCCAGCCAGCCAACCCATCCTGTTCTCCTGTTCCTTCTTTGATGGTGCCATGTATCTGTGTATTTTGGAGGGAGTTAACAAAGCACTCCTGAAGCGGATTGTTGTCACGAAGACTGCTTAGTTTCTCTTCATTGGTGCTCCCAGTGACACCTCTGTAACTTTGCTTCTCTCCACCCAAGCCCCCTTTCTTTGTGGACACAATAGGAAACTCTCTGAGAGTTATATTTAGACTCTTAAGCTCTCTGGCCACAGACTCACCTGATGCTGTGCAGACAGACACTGGAGGTCCCCAGCAGGCTGGAGGGACTTCCCAAGTCCCTGTCTCCCATATGCTCCAGGGCACATTTCTGTTTTCCACCAAGATCCACAAACTGATTCATAATTCTTTGACAAATCTACACAATAAATATGTGTGCTTTTCTTTCTCTGAATTTAAAATAAAGTATCTCATTTACAATTTAATAAGTGACATTGCATCTACACTGGTGTTGGATATGGTGCTCACCTGCATTTATAATGTACTTACTGTATCATGAGAACTGTAAATTTCTGGCCCTAAGAAGATCTTTCAATATTTAAAACTGCCATGAAGCTGGACATAGTGCACTGTGCCAATGGTACCAGTACCCGAGAGACAGAGGCAGGGGGATCACAGCAGTAACTGACATGTATACCTAAGCTTTCAAAAATCAGATTTGGTGGTGCACGCCTTTAATTCCAGCACTCGGGAGGTAGAGGCAGGTGGATCTCTGTGAGTTCGAGACCAGCCTGGTCTACAAGAGCTAGTTCCAGGACAGCCTCCAAAGCCACAGAGAAACCCTGTCTTGAAAAACCAAAAAAGAAAAAAAAAAAAAATCAGGTTTCCTGAGGTTGTTTTATTGTATTTTATTTTTGAGACAGAGTCTCAGTTAGACAAGGCTGTCCTCAAACTCACTATGAATCTGAGATTGATGATGAAGTGAATTCCTGGTCAGAGATTTTTTTTTTTTTAAGAAAAATAAACCAGTCTTATATGTAGCATATGCTGGTCTCAGACTCAAGATCCTCCTGTCTCTACCTCCCAGAAATGGGGTTGTAGTCTTGTGCACCACCATGCAGGACTGAAGATGCCTTATAATAGTTTTTAGGTTGTATTGCTGCTAGAACAAGGGTTCTCAGCCTTCCTAATACTGCAAGCCTTTAATACAGTTTCATGTTGTGGTGACCCCCATTCATAAAATTATTTTTGTTTCTACTTCATAATGTAAATCTGTGTTTTCTGATGGTCTGTGATGACCCCTGTGGAAGGGTCTTTCAACCCCAAAAGGGTTGCAACCTACAGGTTGAGAACCACGTTCTAGAAGAATAAATTAGCACAACGTGTTTTTCCATTTTCCACAAAATACTGTTATATCGTGACAAAGGTTCACAGTTGGCCAGGCTATGGTGGTACACGCCTTTAATCCCAGCAGTCAGGAGGAAAAGGCAGGCAGATCTTTGTGAGTTCAGACCAGCCTGGTCTATAGAGTGAGTTCCAGGACAGCTAGGACTGTTACACAGAGAAATCTTATCTTGAAAAAAATAGTGTTCATAGTTACTGAATATTCATATTCATTGTCATGCACTCTGGTTTAAAATATTTTTAAATTTAGCCAGTTGGTGGTGGTGCATGCCTTTAATCCCAGTACTCAGGAGACAGAGGCAGGTAGATCTCAAGGCCAGCCTGGTCTACAGATCAAGTTTCAGGATAGCCAGGGCTACACAGAGAACTCTGTCTCAAAACAAAAACCAAAGAAACACAAAAACTGAATATGCATTTTGAATTATTTATTTTATATATATGGGTGTTTTGTCTGCATGTATGTCTGCCATGTGCATGCCTGGTATCTACACAGGCCCGAAGAGGGTATCCGATCTCCTGGGGCTGGATTGTGAATGTTGAGAGTCAAACCTTTGGTAGAGAGCTGCTAGTGCTCTCTGTAACATGACAAAAGACCCAGAGACAGATAATGGGGTTCAAAGCAAAGCAGCCACCAGCCACCAGCTCTCACCTCTAGCTCAAGCTGAAAGGGCTGTTCCACACAGGAGCACTTCACCAAGTCTCAAACTGCAGTCGCTCCTCAGTGCGGCTGGAGAACAAATGCCTCATACTGAATCCTTGCTCCTGTTTTTTATTCCCCACTAGTGCTGGGATTAAAGGTGTGAGCTATAATTCTCTTTTAGACTGATTCAATCTTGTGTAGATCTGGGAGGTCTTGTACTCACAGAGATCCATCTACCTCTTAACCCTGAGTCCTAGGATTAAAGGTGTGTACCACCACCTCCTAGCTTCTGGCTGCTGGGATTAAAGGTGTGTGCCTAGGGGCTGGAGAGATGTCTCAGAGGTTAAGAGCCCTGACTGTTCTTCCAGAGGTCCTGAGTTCAATCCCCAGCAACCACATGGTGGCTCACAACCATCCGTTATGAGATCTGGTGCCCTCTTCTGGAGTGCAGATATACATGGAAGCAGAATGTTGTATACAATAAATAAATAAAATATTTTTTTTTAAAAAAAGGTGTGTGCCTAGTTTTCTATGGCTTATGGCTGACTTTGCTTTCAGACAAGCTTTAATAAATCAAGTAATATATCACTACAGCTCTCAACCTCTGAGCCCTCTCTCCAGCCCCCAAGTCACACTTCTTTCATTCTTGGCAAACCCCTCTTCTACTTTTTTGGCCTTTAGGATATGCCAGGTACATATAGGGTAGCATATGCCTCTGTGAGTTTGAGGCCAGCCTGTTCTATATAGTGAATCCCAATTCAGCCAGCCTACATAGTGAGATCCTGTCTTAAACCTCCCCACCCCAAAATACATGGACGTGTAGCAAGCAATATTTAAGCTTAAAGCAATGGAAAAAATCAGTTCTGCCTTGAAGCATGTCATAGATCGCTACATATGGTCATGCCATGCGCCTGCAGTTTTAACTCTTTGAAAATCACTTAAACCCAGGAGTTCAAAGCCTGATGACACCACAGCAAATGTTTCAAAAAAAAAAGTCCAGAGAGTAAAAGATACTGAAATGCTAAAGTAGTTTGTGGTAATGCATACCATTAATCTCAGCCCACAGGAGGCAGAGGCAGGTGATCTCTGTGAGTTTGAAGCCAACCTGGTTTATGTAGTAAGTTCCAGGACAAACAGGTCTATGTAGAGAGAGATAGTCTCATAAAAACTAAAAAAAAAAAAGTTTAAAAGCAGGAATGTAGTAGGACATTAATAAATATTTATAGTGTAATAAATACAACCAGTGATTGTGAGAATGAGATACTGCTCATAACTACAGAAGTAAGTAATGTAAGTAATGTATTGGATTTTAGGTGGTGGCTTTAGTGACAGCACGAGGGGTGTGGCAGGGTGAAAGTTCACACAGCCGAAGGTTCTGGGGGAGCTGAGGCTGGCATGGCTCACACCCAGTGCGGAGTACATAGTGGAGCTAAGATGAGAGCAGAGGAGGTGGCTCCTGGGAGCCTCACATGTTCAGTGTGTACCAGAGACTCACCGGCAGGTAGTACATATCAAGCATTTTTTGAACAACTAGAAAAAAAAATCATGACCAGATCTGTACTTTAATAATATTCTTTGTGTAAACAACAAGTGATGAACAAAATGAAGAAGCAAAAGACTAGAGAAGGCCTTAGTGTGGGACACTATTCCAGGGGATGTATAAATATCTCACCCTAAACAGACACAAGTACTGATACCAAAGTTCAACTTGGTGAGCCAGTGAGTTTTATTGGGGTTACTTAGAGGACCATAAATGACTCAAAGGCAGTTGCACCACCAGGTCCCACCTCAGAATGGGTGACAGCTCATGAAAGGTGAAAACCCAGAGCTCACCGCTAGAATGTTGGTAGTGCTTTCCAGGCGGCTCGGCTTGTCTCGGTGTCTCCCATCAGTCTTTGCAGCATATATGTGCTTTAAAAGTAAGGGGCCTAGCAAATCTGGTCAGCTTCAGTGTCTTCCTGAAACTGGTGCTTTGTTCACTTTCTGAGCCAGTAGAATGGGATGTTTTACCTCCTTTAGATCATCTGAGTCTTAAGGAGCTTTCTTCCAAATAAGGTTCTAATCCCAGAGAAAACTGCTGCATGAGCCTATATTTCATTGTTCTCTACATTTGTTCTGTTGCTCCTCAAAGGGGGAATAAAATCCTTCACGGAAGAACAGATCCAAACCTTTTCCCAAGTTTAAGTTTAGCAGACAGGGAAGAGACGAAATTGCACCCAAGATGAAGCAATTAACCCCAAGTGTGTAGGTGTGAGAGCACATTGAACAATCTACAAAGCTTTACAGTGTTGGGGATCAAACCTGTGGCCTCACCATGCAAGATAAGCATTCTTTTGATAAGCAGTGTTCTCAGGCCAGCAAACACACACACACCCACACCCACACACACACACACACACACAAGATATATATGTATATATATAATCTGAATACTCTTATTGAGTGTTGAAAGGACCAAAGACAAGCTAATAAAATATCTGATTCCCTATTGGATGACTTTGTAAAGAATTCTCTTGCTTTGTTGTAGAATTTACTTCCCCATTTCTGTCTGCCTAAAGAATATCCTTTAGATTTCTGATTTTTGAAGTATGTGTATGTCTATGTGCGACTATGTCTAGGGAATCAAACTCAGGTCTCTCTCTCTCTCTCTCTCTCTCTCTCTCTCTCTCTCTCTCTTTCTCTCTCTCTCTCTCTCTCTTTCGAAACAGGGTTTCTCTGTGGCTTTGGAGGCTATCCTGGAACTAGCTCTTGTAGACCAGGCTGGTCTCGAACTCATAGAGATCTGCCTGCCTCTGCCTCCTGAGTGCTGGGATTAAAGGCATGTGCCACCACCAACCCAGCCAAACTCAGGTCATTTTACTTGGTAGCACGTGGTTCTGGGCCATCTTGCAGGCGTCTTGCTAGTTTCTTGATAAGTGTTTTTCAGGGAAGTTTGCCTTTTATTACATTTTGGCAGGTTAAAATGGGGTTATTGGGGCTGGTGAGATGGCTCAGAGGTTAAGAGCACTGGCTGCTTTTCCAGAGGTCCTGAGTTCAACTCCCAGCAACCACATAGTGGCTCACAACCATCTATAATGAGATCTGTTGCCCTCTTCTGGCATGCAGTCAGAACACTGTATATATAATAAATAAATAAATCTTTAAAAAATATGGGGTTATTTCCAATACATCTTGTAATGGGTTTATTTGTATATATGAAAGATACTGATTTCTGTCTCATACAGCTACCTTATCTTGAATTTTTTCTTTGAGTTTTTAAATTGATTCTCTTTAATTTTTTTGAGTATGTAAGTGTATAAACACACAGAGCTAAATCTTATCTTTTTCTTTCCAATTTTCTCTAGTTTATGTTTTGTGTATTTGCATCTCTCCAAAATGATAGTAAGTAATGGGAATCAACAATCTTGATCCAGAAACATAATGGTTTTGTAGTGCAATGAGTCCTACT